GCTGCCAGTGTGAAGTGCGTTTACTTGCCTAAAAAACGACAGCAAGAAATAGTTAGCTTGGCGCCTTAGCTGTCAGACAATGCCATGGCAACGCTGACAGAGAACAATCCATCACGGCCGGGTGGCACAGTGGCTGTCTGTGTCTCTTCTGTCAGATTAAAATCTCTCCTGCTCTCTGTCTCGCTGACACCTGTAAGTGATGCAGGTTAAGTCGGTTTAAGCAGACCTCTGTTGACATTGTAAACACACACAGCAGGAAGATCGGCCTTATTATGACAGGAGTGGCAGGAAATGCAGTTGTATTTACATTGTACGCAGAAAGGCATTGGTGGAGATCAGCTCTCTCTAGTTTTCTTTTTTGACCTCTTTTTAATTCTGATTTCTTTTCTCAATGAGAGACACAGACAAATCACCCCAAAGTGGACTTTTCTTGTTTTATTCAGAACGGGGACCTGTGAGACCTGAACCTGCAGGCTTTAGATACTGGAGGACACCTGATAAAACATCCTCCATCCTCCATCAGGTTAGTAATACTATATAAACATTAGTTTGCTTTATACAGGAACTAACTTGCCGTTGCCAGTAAAACCATGCGCCAGTGTTTAACCCTTGTGTTCTGTTGAAAAGTCTGTATTATCCCTTCAAATACTTTTAATATGGTCCTCTGAAATAATCAAAACCCAATAGGCAGATATTATTAAAGTTTTAACCTTATCATGTATCTTAATTTATAAATGCGCTTTTTGGAAAAGTGATTATTACACAGTACATTAATGTTGTTTCTGTTTAGGGTCAGTTCGACACCAGCAAATACATATTGTAGAATAAAATAAAATAAAATAAACGAATAAGAAGTCAGATTGCACTGTTTTCACATGTTGAAATCCATTGCATGTATTCATGATTTACACCTAGGGTCTCTGAGACACCAAACAGAAATAATGTAACATTCTTTGACATTTGAAACGTGTTTGCATTTTGAAATATTGCTTAAAATCAGATCTTATAGGATTAAAGGGGTCATGATGACATGAGAAATCAAACTGGCCTTGATCTTTTGACACATAAGAGGTGTTTTGTAAGCTTTAAAACAACCTGCAAGTTTAATAGCATAAAATCTCCTGTTCTTGTGGGATATGTGATGTCGCACGGGCAAATACATCTGATTGCCTCATATGATACATCCTCACCATAGGCCCCGCCCACTGGCATTCAGTCACTTAATAACGGCTGATATTTACCTACACTGGATGTGAGCACTGTGTCAAAAGCAAATAGAAAGCATTATAATCACTGATGCTGTCTACACTGGATACAGTATACCGAAGCACGTTCAGTTTCTGACATACTCCACGAGCTTGAGTCTGTCGACAACAGGACAAATGGAGGAGTGGGAAAACGTTCGCTTTGACGCGTCCAGTTTAAATGGCTCGTTTGAGTCTCTGTACAGACTTCAGAAGGATCCCAGCGTCGGAAACAAGTGGATGGTTTATTTTAATGGCGTCCCGGATCACGTCGGAGGATTATATGTTTGTTCGGAGCATTTTATTTTGTAAACGATGCACAGTGTAATGGAGAGTTCACAAAGGATCTTTTGTTGAAAGATGAAGCAGCGACTGTATTGGATCTTACAGCAGCTGCATCACAAACCGTGAGTAAATGATTTCATAATGCTTTGTCTGTAAATGACGGATAATGTTTTCAAAACACTTACTTGTGTGCAATAGCAAGTGGGTGTTTCCTATCCAATGACGTTAGCCAATCATAGCAGTGGCCCTGACAAGCCTTAAAGGAGCCGCGTCTTAAAAACAGACAGAGGGTCAGTATGAGGGTTTTTATGCATATATATTGGTTTTGTTTTGCTTTATATTATAAGTGAACCTCAAGGAACAAATTAAAATAATAACCCCTTTACTGTAAGTAAGTGTCATGCAGTATGAGCCTGATGTTTCATTGTTAAATATTTTTCATGTATAAAATTGGCCTTTTAGACCCTAAATAGAAAGGGTAAAGTAACAGATGTTTGTTTGTTGTCCTTCTTATTATAAATACAGTATTTAACCAAAGGACACTGCTAATGTAGATTTGTATGATTATATGGTTCATAAAGCCTTGCTGCTCCTGATAGAGACCTGTGATTCAAAAGCACATGTTAATGCCAGTAATTGAGTAATACCAGTGTCTATTTACACTAAGTGCAAATAGTCAACCCTGTTGGCAAAGGCTATTTCCACTAACTCCACCCACCATTGCTCTAGATATCTACTAGTTTAGACTCTAATTTGCAACTACCCTGTATGTATATATGTATATACAGTATGTATATATTATATATATATATATAAAAAATATATATTTTACATATCTTTTTGCTAATTTTAGAATGTTTACTGCTACCAATAAAAGAAAGCATTTTACCATGTTTAAATCTCTTCCACTGTAGATTTTCCACAAATTCAGTCCATAAAATAAAGTATGCAGATTCGGTATTACAAATAGTGGATTACTCAGTACTTCATTTATGCATTTCTTTCACCAGACAAAAAATTATCAAAATCAAAAAAAATCAGCCGGGGACCTCTGGTTGAGTTGACACGGAATGACCCAATTGTAAGTTGTGCGCATTTAAAGTGGTAATATAGATGTTCATTAAGCCCTGAACAAATATTACAATCTTGATTAAGTTTGTCTGTGCTGTGTCTCTGTTCCTCAGCAGTCTTTCATTTAGAAACACTAGTAAACGCTCTTTAAAAGCATTGTGTAATCAGTTACATGCTTAGTTTCAGATGACCTACACACAAATCAATCTCAACGCGATGAGCAGTTGCTCTGAATTAAAGGAGCTGTATGTAAGAAATGTATTTCAATTAATCATAAAATGACCCTGATGTGTCTCTAGACATTAAGAAATCAAGTTCATTTCAAATACTTATATCACTGACAACAGTAGTACAGCCACGATATTGTCATTTAAAAAGTGAAGTTGCAGCCCTCAACTGATGTTGATGTTGTCATGTTGTGTTTTGGTCTGATGCTCCACCCTCCACCTATCGAACAATCACGAAGTCAGTAGTGTTTCGGCATCCGGGTTGCCAGCTCTGCTCTAGTTGAAAGCTCCTTGTAGCAGCCTACGTTCCTGCTGGATCCTGCAGCCTATCTGGCAACCTCGAGTCAGGGGGGAGGGGGAGGGGATACACCGCTCTACAGTAATTTGAAAGTGATTGCAGTACCAGTTTTGGCCACAATCTTACATACAGCTCCTTTAAGCTGTTTGTATTGGATAAATGTATTCTCAGAATAAATCTCTTTCTGTGTCTGTTTATTGCACTGTTATTGCACTGATGTTTGCTTCAGGTGGCTTTTTGTTTAAACTTTTACTTTTTTTTCTATGCTACTGAGATGTTGTATGGCCAAAGAAAGTATAATTGTGAAATAAACTTGATCTGTTTCAGTATTAACAGAAATGCTAATGCTTCCTCTGTTTGGATTTAGAGGTATATATTTTAATCGGTATAAATCATACCCTGCAGTGTATCTACCTCTAAGTGCCATCACTGTACTGTGTGTGTGTGTGTGTGTGTGTGAGGAAACAAGCTTGTAAATCATACCAAGTGATATTTTTTAACAATCTAAAGATTCAGAACGTTTTCTGTGACGACTCGAGTAGGTTAGCGTGATGGGATAAAGTATACAGTTTGTACTGTATAAAAATCACTATGTCTATTGAATGTCCCCACAGAACATAAAAACCCAACGTGTGTATATACACACCATAGTACTGAATGAGCTGTTTTTTTATGTTCAAATGCTCAAGCGTTTCTATTTTGGTCTTACCTATTCAGTCTTGCTGACATTGAGGCATTTGTGTTCAAAAGATTAAAACTCTCCTGTGATTTTTATGATATAATAAAGAAGTGCCTCGAATTCAAACTTAATTGAACTTAATTGCTATGGAAACGGTGGAACACTCGGGTTCGGAACGAGGCGAGTTGTTACAATGTGGATTCCGTAAGCATTATTGTGCATGCAGGAGGCAGAAAGAACCTCTTTCATCCACACAAAGCCCAATTCAAGGGATTTTGTTTTTGTTTCCAGGCTTCGGGATCCGTGAGCTCCGAGGGAGGACGAAATGGACTGCAGGCCTGGAATCCCAAAGCCAGTTTTACCAGCAAGGTGGAAACGGGCCAGTCTCCCCCTCATCCCGACCACCCGGCATTAAAAGATCCCACATGCAGACGTGGAAGTGCACCAGAGTCATTGAGCTCCTCAATATCATCCATCACCATCACTTCCAGGAAGGTCACACACACTTCCAGTCTTCCGAATTCGGGGCATCTGAGCTCGATGGCGACTAATAACCTTGCCTTTGAACGAAGAAAAGCCTTAGTGGTCAAAGTCACCGAACAGCGGATGAAAAGCACTAGCAGCCAGAACCTCGCTCTGACCCCTGGCTGTAATCGTGAGGAGATTGACCACGGCGTGGTACTGAGGAGAAAGGCAACTATTGTGAAAATGACAGAACAGAGAGAGCATTTCAATCGAGGAAAGCCCAACACAGCACATTACAGGCACAGCTACACCGAAGGACTCCAAACCAATGAATCTAAAGTCAATCCCTCGCCATTAAACCGAGCACTAACTGTATCTTTAGAGCCAGGCGGAAACCAATGGAGGTCTCAGCACACATCCAGCCTGTCTCTTTACCTCAACAACCCACATGATAGCAGCACAGAAGAGGAGACCAACACCAAGAAGCACAAGCCACTTCGAAGGCCTCTCAGCTGTGACGCAAGCTGGTTTAACCACACAGAACATGGCGCTAATGCAGTTACAGATCCAGCATTTCACAACAAGAGCTCTCCTGTTCCCCAGAAGACAAATATTGACCTTGTTAGTTCCAGCAGCAGTGAAGCAAGAAGGCGCTCGACCTCCGGCTGCGAAACCAGGAGCTTAATGAAGGAGCGATTGGAGTGGGATCGAGCATTTGAGAAGCGTGAGGAACCTATTTCAGAAATGAAACCTCTCACGCTCCTAAAAGTGTCAGGTACTAGCAGGACTCTGTGGATATTCAGCAGTACATGCTCAAGAACACACTGTAAGGCTTCTTTGATGTATAATAGATGAGTATTATCGTGTGAGAGAGCTGAGGTTTTTAATTGAGGCTTTTCACAGCAGATACACATTTATGCGGCGGACTGCCCTGAAACGGGAGATTTCTCTCCTGTCTCTCTCTTTCTGTCATGTGTTTTCTCATCTTTTCATTTTCCCACGCATCCCTATGCATGCATAATCTATTTCTACCCTGCTTTCAATACCGGTTTTTGAGCTTCTGTGGGAATTTAGAGCAGCTACACATGGAGGAAAAACCTGACAGCCGCTGAAAGTACACACACATTTAACTATCTGACGACATGCTATTGTTTCAAATGATGTAATTTACGATTACTTCAGACTTCAAACCTCTCAAAGAAAATGTTTAGAATTCTTTACCATTAAAAAGCCATTATTTGCTTTATATGTGATTCGATTTTTTACCAATAGGACATTTGCGGGTAATATTTTTTCTAGAAAATGTACGATTTCAGGGTGAAAAAAAAAAACTTTTAGAGAACTCTAAAGACCAGAAAGAGAATAATTGTCATTATTGTGTTTTCACATCTCTCTCTCTCTCTCTCTCTCTCTCTCTCTCTCTCTCTCTCTCTCTCTCTCTCTCTCTCTCTCTCTCTCTCTCTCTCTCTCTCTCTCTCTCTCTCTCTTATATATACCTTATTATGGCTTGTTATAGGCAGGGGTCATTGGCATTAAAAGTGTCCAAAGGCCAAGAACATATTCTACACAAGTATGCTAATGCAGACATGAATGCATTACAAATGCACCATCTCTAGTTTAACATTGTAAATATGTCAGTACTTTAACAGTAGTTTTGGCCTAGCAGAAGTATATAGCGTTCTGCCATAGTATGTAGCATACTTGCATCACTTATGTTTCTGAATGCATCAACAAAGTCCAGCTTGCCTAGCCAGAAGCATTTGCATTCCCGTACACATGAGGAGAGTGTTTCAGACCGACTGGACTCTGGATGATGCTCACTCTCTTTGTTCTTAGAGAACTCGCCTCATCTCAGCGCAGACGCTGTCCTGGCCCTGAACGCTGCTGCGGTTATCGCCAACATAAAGCTGCAGGCCCAGCAGAGACAGAAGGATGAGCAGACACCCACTACATCCCACACAGCAACAGCAGGTACACCTGTCTCCCGACCTTTGGCTTCCTCAAACACAAACTTCACTTGACACTGACATTTAGCAAGATGAAGGGATCTTATATAGACATAGACAACACCGAGAAAATCGATGTCTTTACATTCTGGACATGTTAGTATCAGTGCAGCTCAGTGAGTTTTTCCTGGATTCCTCTTGTGAGCTGTTGCAAGAATCCTGCCTGAATGTTAAGCATTACAGATTGATCACTTATGAGGTTTCATGACCGTTATGACGCTGCCTATATAGGGAGCTTATTAGGGTCTTTTTGTAACAGAGCTCGTGTTTCATAACTCATAACTTCATAAATATGTGTGTGTTCCTCTTAATCAGTGTCTTTAACTGAGGATAGATGGAATAATGAAGAGGCTACTGGTGCTGATGGGAAGAACAAAACGCCTCCAGCAAGTCCATGTGTGGAGTTTGTTCCGATTGAGTCCCAAAATGTGCCTCCTGAAACGGCATTGTCACTTAGCGTGAGTTACTCTTCTGTTGTTTGAAGGTACTTCTGCCCTAAAATATTCTTAACGAGGACATGCAATAGACAGCTATTTTTTCAATAGTTCAATTTTTTGTTTATACTATTCTATATTATTCTACATTTTAGAATAATAATATACTAAATAATATAATATATAAGTATATTACATAAAATATGTGATTGATTTGGGCCTTTTAGGACATTTCAGGCCAATTTTCCCTCTAAAATGTAGGATTTCTGGGTGAAAAACAGTATTTTAAATATTAACATTTACAGAATTCCAAAGACTGGAAATCAAGAGAACAATTTTAATAATTTGGATTGTTTTAAATTGGATTGGTTTTTTTAGGTAGGAAATAAAACAAATCTGAATATAGTTTTGTGGGAAAAGTGTTTATCTATCCTTCCTTTCAACATCCAATTTGTGTTTTAAAAATATTTTATAAATGAAAGGTATATTTCATAGTAAGATAATAAGTTACATATATTGTTTTATTTTTACTTCAGTAACTTTTTTTTTTTTGCTGCTGGAAAATCCATCTTAAACTGATAGCTGTTTTGGTACAGGATATATAGCTGGTTCATAGATGGTCTGAACTTAGCTTAATTAGCTTGTGCAAAAATGGCCATTAGCTGGTCTATAGCTGATAGCCCACGTTGGACCAGCAAGAAACCAGACACCAGCTTGTCATACGGCTTGAGCATTTTAAACCTGGTAGCTCAACCAGCTAATGACCATCTTAACTAATGATCATCTTCTCCATTTCCTCTCCATGTAGCTCATTGCTGTCTAGGAGAAACAACTGAGATGTTAAAGAGATCACATTTGGGATTTTACTGATGTAGTTTTGAACATCTTGATTTCCACGTCAAATTATAAATCACAAATTTGAATTGAATTGCTATTTCGCCCCTTTAACGGGTTGTCTCTCTGTGTGCAGGAAGCTTTAGCGATGAGACGGCCTGATTTCATCCGGCGCTCACAGGCCAGAGTTCGAGCCCTGGAGTGGAGGTCGCAGGAGAGGCAGAGAGCACAGATCTCCCCCCAGAGCCCCGAGCGAGGTGCGCAGCACATGCTGTCTGCGAGCCGGAGGCTGGAGAACTAGCATGCCATTCATACATGTTCAAACCCAGTCGAAATGAACAACACTTTCATGTCCTCAATATTCAGACAGACTCTGTTTATCAAATCGGCTTCTGAAATGAGAGCAGGGAATTTTCAGAACACTGGAGAAACAATATCAGTGACTGTCATACAGCCAGTGTTAAAAGACAGGAAATATCGCCCCCATCTGGACAGACATTGGCTTTAATGTGTGTGTGGGTGTGTGTGTGTGTGCGTGCGAAAGCCAGCAAACTACATTAGGTTGTTTTATATGTCCCTCTTTTTTTCAAATAACACCCTTAATTGTGATAAAATCACTGGCTTCTTGATATTTATTGCAAGACCCAGACAGAATCTGAATGGCTGTTAACATGGACAACTGAATGCATATTCAAAATATATATAAATATTTAAAAAAAGCTTTTTTGCAGATTCCGGCGTGCACAGTTTGGGCCTGATTATCCCTGTATTTCACTTTACTGCAAATATTGTTATAAGAAGACTTGCTTGTGATAAATAATGTTATTTTTAATGTTACTAAAAATTGAGTTGAGTAATAATGTAAGGGTCTGCCAATTTATTTTCTGAATTCTGGTGTCCAAAACAATCTAAAGTTGATGGTTGAGCAACATTTAATCATGGACTTTTGATTTTATCATTGAATTAGAGTGCACCTATTCAACCTAATTTATAGTGTGTGTGTTTGTTCTGCAGAAAGCCTTTTGAAATCCAAAGACAGAAGCATCATGGGAAAGGGTCTACAGCTGCGGTCCAGGAGGTAAAAGAACATGCCAGTTCCTGTTTCGAAAAACACCTTTCCTGCTTTATTTCTCTCGCACAGACACAAACACCTGTATCAGTTCTATCTGTATTGAAGGTGTTGTGTGTGTCTGTGTGGCTGCAGGGTTTTGCCGCTCTGATTGTGCTTTTCACAGCTTGTTTATTTTGCTGCCGCTGAATAAAACCCTCATCCGATTAGATCTGGTCTCACTGTGCTTCCAAATTAAACCTCTTTGATGCACGGCTGGATGGGTTCTGCACGAATGAGTGGCCATGTTCAGAAGTTTGATTTAAGGTGTGTGACTGAATAACACAGGCAGTTTTGTCAGATAATGTTGTAAACATTCACTGTTTATTTCTTAATTCTAACTCTGATATATTCTTCTGATCTCAGAAAAAAAAACAGATATATTTCTTTTAGTTAAATGTTTCATTCTTGTTTCATTTTAAACAACAACAACAAACATAGGCTATCTAAAGGATTTCTTTTTTGCCAGTGAGAAAATACCAGTAGCAACATCCGAGAATACCCCAACAACACCCTAGCAACCACCCAGAAAACCCCCAAAACATTCTAGCAACCCGCAAAATAAAAATAAAACACCACAGCAACCCCAAAATACCCCATGCAACAACACCCTTGCAACCACCCAGGACACACCTGGCCTTACAACATTCTAGAAAGTTGACCCAAAATATCCTAGAAACAACCCAGAACAACTCAACAACATTCCGGCAACCTTGCAAAATACCCTAAAAACCCTTGCAACCACCTAACATACCTTATCAACACCCTTTAAACCACCCAGAACACCCCTGGCCCTACAACAAACTGGCAACCACCCAAAATACAGTACCTATAAACTCCAAGAATACAACAACCATAGCAACCACCTAACATACCCTAGCAACACCCTAGCAACCACCAGAACACCCAACAACATTCTGGAAACCCCACAAAATACCCTTAAAACACCAAGAATACCCCCAAAACACCCTATCAACCACCCAACATACCCTAGCAACACCCTAGAAACCACCCAGAACACCCAAAAGCATCCTAGCAACCACCTGGAACTCCCCAACAACACTCTAGCAACCACCCTGAACACTCCGACAACATTCTTGCAACCACCCAGAACAAACTTATTGCAGTGCATGTACAATTGGCACTTTCTTTCTCAACACTGCCTTTTCCTTTCTATTTTCTCTCTGCATCAGTGCTCATTTATAAACAGCAGCTAGTATGTCAAGCATGCTAACCCTGAGCTTTGATTGACAGGAATTATAACCAGCTCCCTGAAGTGAGGAAGAGGAGAGAGGAAGAAAAGAGAAAAAAAGACGAGGAGAAAAGAAAACTGGCATCTCGGACCAACAGGCTGCGGGCAGAGCTCTTTAAAAAGGTACGCGGCCGCTGCTGTTTGTGGACATAAAGGGCTGATCTGAGAGCAGAAGTGAAGACAGATCTCAGATCAGCTCCGAGGTCCATCGGTAATCATTACCACGCGGGTGTGTGTGTGTGCTCTCTCAGTGTGTGGGATTGCATTTTTGAGTCGGCGTTAAACTGGTTCAACAAATGAGATTAATTCTCAGCATTAATCCTGAACGTGAAGCTTTTCCAATATGCCGTCACACGGTATTCGGTTATCTTAACAAAATTCCTCTAATTCCATCGGACCGGAGAAGGACGACTTCTCTAAACCCTTTCCACCCCTTAACTATCGGGATTGATTTTGCCCGATGCATTTTGTTCCTAAACACCTCTTACAGTCCCTGACAGAGAGCCATATTCAACTGTGTCAGAAAACACACATTTCTAGGCCTGCCTTCACATTTGCACATCACTCTGACTCAAAAAGCTTTTGTTTATGTAATTATTTGCAGTGTTTGGTTAGTGAAGCACTGCTATTTGATTTAAAGTCCCACTCCGATCATATTTTGAGCTATTTTTAAACATTCCCAGTGGTCTTTAAAGGAGCTGTATGTAAGAAATGTATTTCAATTAATCATAAAATGACCCTGATGTGTCTCTAGACATTAAGAAATCAAGTTCATTTCAAATACTTATATCACTGACAACAGTAGTACAGCCACGATATTGTCATTTAAAAAGTGCAGTTGCAGCCCTCAACTGATGTTGATGTTGTCATCTTGTGTTTTGGCCTGAAGCTCCACCCTCCACCTATCGAACAATCACGAAGTCAGTAGTGTTTCGGCATCCGGGTTGCCAGCTCTGCTCTAGTTGAAAGCTCCTTGTAGCAGCCTACGTTCCTGCTGGATCCTGCAGCCTATCTGGCAACCTCGAGTCAGGGGGGAGGGGGAGGGGATACACCGCTCTACAGTAATTTGAAAGTGATTGCAGTACCAGTTTTGGCCACAATCTTACATACAGCTCCTTTAAATTATGATTATGCCATTTTTAGCCAAAATCACAAAACCTGTGCCGTTTTCTGGGACTTCGCTTCAGCAGAGCGGCAGTAGCTCATTAGCAATTCGCCTCTGCGTTGTGGGCGGAGCCGTTGGCACGGAGACGACCCTCCCCCTGCCCGTTGCTGAGAGCTCTGTCTCTCCCGCTAGCTTACACCCCCAACCGGTGGGGCAACAGTATTATATACACGTTAATTATTATTATCCGAAGTTAATCAAAGTTATCACCGATCATTATTTCACTCCAAGACGTCGCGTGTGGAGACGCCCAGTGGAGTTACTACGTCACAACTTCAGTCGATTTTAGCCGGCATTTTAGCGTCTGCTACTGATTCACAGCCATTTGAATGTAGAAATACTCAGAAATACAACTTTGAGCTGATTTTTCTCAAGATATGTCCTCTAACATCAGAAAAATGCCACAAGAACATGTTAACACCTAGAAAAACATTATTTTCATCGGAGTGGGTCTTTAAATAAATCCTTACAACGTGTCCAAACCAGGTGCACACAGTCAATCACAATATATTTGGTGCATATGTTGTTTGGTTGCAGTTTCCGCACACAATGCCATGACATTTTGTGTTAATCTGTGACACTATTTTGGAAGTCTCACTGTTTTCTGAAGGCAAGAAAGGAGAAATGTAGGGTCAGAATCCAGTGTTGTGAGCACTTATGGGAGACTGGCCTGTGTCCGATGTGAACGCTTTAGAGTCAGCTGACACAGAGTCAGGCACGTGTGTGTGTGTGTCTTATAATATAGCTCATAGAAGACTCTCAGGAATACTTGATTCTGGTCAATCTTCATAAAAAAGACCATGTTTTTGGAAATGAAACTGTAGTAATACTATGATATTCTTTGAAGTATCCTGAAGTACCATATTAGTACATGGTAATCAGTCAGCACCACAAAAAAATCATTGTAAAAAAATAACAATTGACACAATCTTAAGTTATTCAAACTCATACTGATAGACCACATTATTAAAAAGCTGCACTTTATTAGAAGAATGACGTGGTAAATATCTGACACAGATAAAAACACCGGCAAAAATCTGTTTATGTAAAATGCTGTGGGTACTTTTGGTAACACCAGATAAATTTGTATGTTTACACTTCATTTTAAACTCTGGTAAGTGAATTAAGTTTGGTTGCAATCCCTAATAATGCTCTTAAAATCTTAAAATTATTCTACTAATTCACTTTTCATTTACATCACAAACAAATCATATAAATATATAGCCTACATATGAAAGAAAATTGCAATTTTAAGAACTTATATTTGTGATTTTAACACATTATGACACATTTATAACTTCATATATAGTAAAATTATTAATATATATAGTAATTTGACTGTATATAAATAATTAAATATAAATATTTTGTATGATTTGCTATGAAGTAATAGCACTATTCAATCCGAGGGTAAATGTCCTACTTCTCTTCCACCAGATGTCGCTATAGGCCAGAGGATCAGTGTATTAGTCATAAAGCAAAAAGCATATTCACTTACACACAAAAATGTCATGTGGCAATCAACAGTTTCATCATGATATTAGTTATGATAGTATGCTGTTCTAAAAATGGTCAAAGTTTCATCCTCAGCTTTATTTTTATATTTCATGTTCTGGCATTATGAGGGAATAAGAAAATAACATTTAGTTATTGATTATAAAGATGATGGTGGTAATGGTGTGCATATGTTGGTGTGCATGTAAGAGACAAATAATTAGAAAATCTTCTGTGTGTGTGTGTGTGTGTGTGTGTGTGTGTGTGTGTGTGTGTGTGTGTGTGTGTGTGTGTGTGTGTGTGTGTGTGCGTGTGTTTTGAATGTTCTCTGGTTGGCAGTGCTTTAAGAGCTTCATTGTGGGGTGTGTGTGTGTGTGTGTGTGTGTGTGTGTGGAGCTACTGTTCACAGGAGCGAAAACCCAGTTAATGCCAATGATAGCACAGCACATGATAACACACACACACATATAGACAATAACATCATTGCAGCCAATATGTGTGTGTCTGTCATGACTCATGAGGCTGGATGCTTTTCCCATGTTTCCCTCTGATTCTCCATCTTCTATATGGGTGATTCTTCAACATACGTCTATACTGAGATCACGGCCTTGATCAACCTTCATTTGGAATAATAGTAACTGTGTGGGTTTTCTGATATTGCATGTGATGGTGATATGAAATTGATTGTTTCTGAATTAAAAGTCCAGATAACCAGGTGGTTGCGATCCCTAACAAAGCTCCTGTCAGATTATGTAAAATCTAACAATTCATCCACCAATTCACTTCTTATTCCATCACAAACAAATAATATAAATGTGGAAAAAGTGCCATGTATAAGAACTTAAAAATCTTGTAAAGTAAAATCTTGTAACGTGTAAAGTAATATGATTTGAACACATTTTGTAAATGTTTGACAGAAGAGAAAGTGCATGAAGAAAGAGCCCATGAGAGAGAACCTTTCAACACTCACAAGAGAAACAAAAGTTCAAATTGACTTTTAATATCTTCCTTAAAACTGCAATGATTGTTTTTTTTAAAACAGCATTTCTTTAAAACACCCTATCACCCAGACATCCAGTATTAATTATGATGTGTTACAACAAAAGCATTTGGCATGTCCAACCCATGCTGACCACAAATTATGGACATTTGGAACAAAACTAAATTATGTTTTTCTTTTTTTTACAGAAACTTCTGGAGCAGATTTTGCAGAGAGGAGGAAATCACTGACACCGCCTTGGACTCGTGTTTCTTCTCACTCCACAGTTCTCAAACCGGCCCTTGAAAAATATGACATGACAACGGTCATAAATGTTATGGAATAGCTCCTTCCAGAATAAAAGTGCCTCTGGATTACATCTATTCCCTCTACACACTGCGGGGCAAAAGTGTGGAATAAGTACGATTTCAATTTCTTAATGTTTTTTAAAGAAGTCTCATCTGCTCACTAAGACTGCATTCGTTTGATCAAAAAAATACAGTAAAAACAGTAATATTGTGAAATATTTTACAGTTTAAAAATAAGTTGTATTGTTTTTTAAACTGTAATATATTCCTGTGAATGTTCAGCATCATTACTCCAGGCTTCAGTGTCACATGAGCCTTCAGAAATCACTCTAATATGATGATTTGCTGCTCAACAAACATGTCAGAGTCTCCAAACAGCATCACATGATAAACACAGGACATCATCAGGAGAGTCTTTGGCTTCTGAGAGATGCTGCAATTGCCGTATATACAGACTGTTCACTCTTGTCCAGACACATTACAGCTCGCCAAAGCCTAACATCCAAAGAACGGGACATTTGAAGACATCTTAGACACGAGGGACTGTGATCTTGCGTTCTGCGGGCTCATCATGACATCAGGAGCCTTCCTCTGTCCGTGTGTCTCCGAGCCATTAGCCGGGAGCAAAAGGAATTTGACCCCATCTGAATAGGAATGCATCTCTAATGGAGCAGTTCGCTCGCACGAAGTGAAAGAGGCTTTTGTCCTCTCTCAGAACGAGCCAAGACTGTCCCACACGTGCCTGCTCAGACGGGACATGACTGTCCAATAGTCTGCGAGTTATACACCCAAGTCTTGCAGTAAAACTTGATTCGAAAGACCTTATATTGTGTCTTTTATTGTGTTTGGTGAATGAACTACTGGGGTTTTGGAGATCAAAACATTACATGTGTGCTGGAGTCAAATATTGTAGCTTTCTATGTGAATGTGATGCATTTTAGGCCATAATTTACGCAAGTACAGAAACATAGGTGCGAATTCTCAAGTTTTTTTGTTTTTTTGCTATATTTGCATTTAAATCTCCCTCTGGACATGTTATTCAGGTAAATAGCTATAAATATGCTGACTTTACTGACCGTTTTTCATGTTTTATGCCTGAGATTCCCAAACTTCCCAAAACCCTAAAAATATTTACTTGAAGTCCCTCTGATCATTTCATAATTTTACAACACATTTGCATTTCCACGGTTCTCTGATGATTGTTAATAGTCTCTGACATGGCATGGAAATAAACAAATAAAATATTTAATCTTTTTTTAACATGTTTTATTCTGATTGTTTTTATTTTCACTTGTTTTTTTTTATTAAATGATTAGCTATTCATAAACTCATGAACCACCTGCAGTTTCCTCATGAACCTCATTTCGGGAGACCCTGTTTTATTCATTCTTAACTTGGCAGTATTGTTTTAGTATCATTGAGATACTATGACAGTTTTTAAGAAAATTATGATTATTTCATTTCAGTTAGAGATTATTTTATTTCAAGTATTTTTATGGTTTTGGTTAACTATAATAACCCTGGTTCATGGCGCAAGACGTGATGTAATGGCCAAAGACATCCATCTGTACAGACAAAATTATACAATATTATATTTGTATTATTATATAAAATTAATATTCACTTTCTTGTGTCCTACACGAACAGCCAAAGAGTCTCCATTTAGATGCCAGGGTTAAAAATTCAGTTTTCTGCTTCAAAATAACATGTATACCTTCAAATATTCCTGCTAAACCTTTAGCACATATCTTAAAGCATATTTGTTCTTCTAGGCCAACTAAATTTAGAATCTTTTCTCAACGTCATGAGGAATATTGATGTGTTTTTGCAAGAGGCTTTTCTCAGTATTCTGGGCTTTGAGTTTGATGATAATAAATTTGACAGGATTGTAAAAGCACAATCCTAAATAACAGGAAATTGAATACATTTCGGCTGGATGGATGGATGAATATTGCTCTAGAGAAACTTCTTCTGGCCTGGGATGAAGAGCCGTGATGAATCATAGCGGGATGTTGATGACTACAGTGGAACACTGACCTAGAACCAGAGCGAACCGTGTAAACCCATAAATCGCCTTTTCTCAGAGAATTATTGTGGTTCTTAAGATACAAAAGGGTTTTACACACTGATCAAAATGAAATGCTGCATGAGTAATAGGATATCTCAAAGGCGTTTGTGAAACCAGAAACCCTGTTGTCTGGGATTGTAAAGTCTGTTCTGTTCGTTTGGACCCAATCACCCCTACTGAGGGCTGAATATGGCTCTATACCTGGAGATATGAGAACCAGACCCTCCAGGTCAGTGGTTCAGGTGAAATAGAATAGAGACACCACAAGTAATCCATAACACTGCATTTCTTCGCATTACAGGTTTTTTCCCCACAGCAGTGAATGGACGGCACAGGTGAGAGCATGCAAAGGAAGTTCATCGGACATGTATATGGTGTGCACTGACCCTGCGTTCCCACGGGAGCTCGTCTGAAGGTTGTTTCACTCCTGAAGACAGCTGGTACATTGACCCCGAGACGGGATGGGACGGGACATCTCATGCCTCTGAATTAGCTCTGTTTCCTCCAACAAAGAGCACAGGGCTTATGAGGGCCATTCTTCCAAATGGGGGCCCTTTGTGTTCCCAAGGTAAAAGACAGTTCCTCATTAACATGAGTAAGTAAGTAATGACTTCAACAATGAAGAGCTGATTTTTACTACAGGAAATTCCCTGAACACACACACACACACATGAAATACTCGATACGTTTTTCCCGGAAAATCAAAAGGATGTGAGTTTTAGGCGTGTATGGCAAGCCGTTTTATCTTAAATTGTGCAGCGATACTGGTCGTAATTGCATTTTTACTAGTAAGAATTCAATTAGAGAGCTCTACAATTCAATTGTAGAGTGTTTGTTAAAAGTATAACGCTGCAAAGGTATTTCCAACTATTTTTTACTTTTAAGCAAAGAACGAAAACAAAACTGGGCACTGAATCACATTCAGTCTCTTGTATAATGTGAGAATGAGCAATACTGGCCACTGGTGTCGCTAATAACAAGGGTTTTTGAAATCAACATAGCCCCTTTAAAACAGTAAGTACAGTAGTGGCCTTAAAATTTAGAGTTCATTGAAACAAACAAAATAGTTAGGCTAATAGACAGAAAGAGATTAGTATAATCAAAGAAACTCAAAATAGTGTTATATGAACAACCTTAGTGAATCTAAGTTGATTTGACAAAAGAAAAAAAGTTGTGATAATAAATCATGAAAATATTTTACAGTGTCATATTTTTAAATATTATTTTGCTATTATCAATTGTATTATTGTTGCAATTTATTAACACTTAAATCATTATTTGTCTGGTAGATTTTTTTAAAAACCATTTAATTCTTTGCACACTGAAATGGGAAAGACGCCTGTTTCAGAATGACTCATGCACAATTCAAGAAAAGAAAAATCCTGGTGGACAGTGACATATGGACACTGTGAGAAAAGAGCTGATGCTGCATTATTGCTGTATGCTGTATATTATGAGAAAATGTGTGGTTTTTTTAACTTGGATGCATGTAAACCTATTGTAGAAGACAATAGGGGCTCTTTAGGAATGGTTCCTGACTCTTTTTGTCCAATTAATTTACAAGAACTGTCCGTCATTTATCATTAAAAGGAGATTTAGGCAAGGAAGTGCAGAGGAAGCCAGAAAGATACTGTTATTCAGACTTATTCCCTTACTCTGACAGTCATTCCTGCTTTAGCATTTCATTAAATAGTTCTTGGAGAAAATGGGGATTTGTTCGATGTTAAAGTCTGTTTCTTTATTTCCAGCTATGACAGTCTTTGAGGATGTGTTTCGAATGGATTTGTGCTGTCTCTTGGATCCAATCCTACGGCCTTTTGTAATCGGGGTAATGCAAGAACAGAATGATGAAATCACACAGTTTTTGCTCTTTGGAAATGAGATTTTCACTCATGTGGCTGCACAGCAAACGCTGTTGATGATGTCATTGTGCTCGGATCGTTCCTGCATGTGCAGTCTGAGGTTTTGCATGTTGTTTAAGTGATGCAGCTTGTGAATAATGCACAGGTTCATCATCGATGTGTGTTTTTTTCATGTCTGTGCTGCAGGAAATCAGGGCAGATTCACAAACTGAGTGCATTGCAGTGCATGCTGGTCCAATACTGCTGCACTGTGAGTTAGCATTATTCAATTATTTATTTAAGGCCATCATTAGAGGTGATTCACATGACATGACGCATTACAAGTAACCGCGGCTCTGAAATACTTGTCATGCTGAATCAATTGATATATTTTATAATATTCTATTCTTGGTTCTATACTAATTATGGGATTAAATGGCATGATGACCATTTCAATTAATCATTATCCTTTAATTAAAACATAAATTACTGACACTAGATTACAACTGATTCGTTGCCCTTTCAACTCACTGTCTCACTATTAAAATAATATTCATAACATATTAGCAGGGTCATACATTTCAGACATGTGTTATCCTCTGGCATGGAAAACACAATAACTTGCATTAATAACATCTATAACACCATTATATAATGCTTAAAGGTCAATTATTAGTAGTATTTATTTTATTTATTTTGCTTTTGAATTAGCTTTTTGTCTCAAATGAACAGTGGGTTCCAAAAATGACAACTTATATATAGTGACTAAATGTGATTTCAATGAGGCTATATTGTTTGGGCTGGACAATAACTGTAGAAATGCTTCTTTAGCCAAAGACCCTTGCAACCAAGACAAAGACATATTGTTTTTTAGCGAATATTAAGAGTTATTATAAACTGTTACCGCCGTTTCTGATCTAGGCTGCGTTTTTACACTTATCCGAAATCAGAGGCGTCAGGACATCGTCGCGCTCGCACACACACACACACACACACACACACGCGCACGCGCGCAGTTGCACGAGGCTGCCTGAGTTTGTGTGGCTCGTGCGCTCATGGAGAGCTGATGTGTGGCGCGCGCGTAAACGCTCCTGACGCCCTGAGAGTCTCTCAGATTTCAGGAAGTGTGTGAAGTCCTCCTCAGTCGCCGTGTGTCTGCCGTCGCTGCTCTATATTATGGTCGTTCTGCCGTGATCCGCGCGGATTCCCGTCGGGCACCATGTCCAGCCGGTACAGCCCGAAGCGTGCGCTCCTGCCCGCGGTCTGCGCGCATGTTGTGTCCGTGCTGACTGTCTGCTGCGCCGGGAGTCTGTTTACAGCAGGTAACACACATTTAAGTGTAATTGCTTTATGGACTTATAACTTTCACATGACTGTGTGGCTGCGATTCAAACCTTTTGCGCTGCCTACGTAGTCAAGCAGCAGTTGTGGGCATCATGGGCACACATACGTGAAACCGCACAGTTGTTTCTTTAAGACACTGTTTCTACCTCATCTGACCCGTAAATTGCAAATGTTTTGACTTTGACAAGTAGCCTAATTTAGAAGTTTCCACGTCCAGCATACTGTCTACAAGCTCACTTGGTTTTGTCAGTTTGTTTTGGGAGCAGATTAAGTCTCTTTTTCTCGAGGCAGCATGAATGATGAACTGTTGCACATTTTGTATGAAGAACATGCTCTGCTGTTTCTCCAGAACAACAACTTTAGGGGATTTTTGTGCTTTGTTAACAGAGGCAATAACAGAACATATTTGTGTTTTGCTGGTGGTTTCTATTTTTGATAACTTTGTGGTTTGTCAGTAGTTGTACACTATGTGGTGATGATTCCATGGCATATACAGCTGAATGTGGTTGAATGTCACACAAACCTGTCATACTTAAAATATGATTTCTTTTTTCTTTTGATTTTGATTCCCCAGGAAAATGCAGCTTATTAAGGGCAATAAGATATATATATTATATAATGTATATATAAATGTATCATATATATTATATTATATATTATATATATATAAATATAATTAATTAGGCACATTTCTCACCCAAATTCTCATTACAATAATGCAAAAAATATCATTTTCATTACTGTAATGCAACAGTTGCAGAGGTTTTACTTTAAGATAAGGAGTAACTCTCTCTCTCTCTCTCTCTCTCTGTCTCTAAACACATCATCACTGGTAAAGTGCTCTTAATTAACACAGAAAACAATCAGTCTCTCTTTGCCTCCTGATGGTAAATGTATTTGTGTGCATGTGATGATTATGTTATTGTGTGCTCTGCTGAGTTAATTGCATGTAGACGATCATTAATAGTTAAAAGCTCATTCATCATGGACACGGTGACTGATATGAAATGAGCGGGTTTGGTGGACGCAGTCAGGGTGATTATATGATGTGAGCGCAGGGGCTGAACTAATGAAACAAACCCGCTGCATGCAACAGTGGCAGATTTGATGAATGACACAACGTTTAGGGCGACATGGTGCTTGATCAGCCACAGATACCCTCATTAAATCAGAGCTCTTATACTAAACAGGTAAACTGGCGGGAGGGGGAGATGTGGAGCATCTTATAGTCACATCATAGTTTACAGTATGGTTAGTTACTGGTACTGGTGTAAAACTATAGTAAATTAGCCACCATTGTCATCAAGAGCAGAAATTATGCAGAGAATGATTTGAAACATAATGTGTAGTGAGTCTTCCAAGTAACGATTATTTTTTACTAAACAAAAGAGAAACTATGTTTGGTTGCATAACGTTTTATTATTTGCATTAAAGTATGTTTAAAAAGTAAGTTTCCATTTCTCAAGGACTGCTCCACTCGATTAAAATACATAATTCTTGTGTTTAAAGTGCCCCTATTATGATTTTTTTGGAATTACATTGCATATAGCGTGTAATACAGCTGTTTGTGAATGTAAAAGGTCGGCAAAGTTTTAAAGACAAATGGAGTTATTGTCTCCCGAAAGAAAGAAGTGATTCTGAACTGAAACGAGTCGTCAGTAATTCCAGTCTCACTTCCTGCTGAACCTGTGTATGTTTGTAACAAATTTGCATAATGCCAGCCTGTGGTCTTGATTGGCTGTCGGCGAACAGCGTCTGCTTTGCCCCGCCCTCAAACACTGTAGTGTATCTGAGACTGGAAGAGTTTGGTTCGTGTCGTTTATGTCGAGAAGACGCTGTTTTCTGCTGCTAAAGTAAATCCACTTTGATGCACTTCCAAAGGATGAGGACTCGCGCCCGAATTGATACGGTAAAACCAACGCAATCATTACTATATCAAGGGCTGAGAAAGAGCTGAAATTCAGATGTTCATTGTTAATGGGTCCTTCGTTTATGACTCGTGCTGTAATCGATCGACCAATCACAGCAGACTTGGCCATCTGACCAATCAGAGCAGAGGTAGCTCACGGAAAGGAGGGGTTTAGAGAGACCGGATCCTTGATCAAACCATTTCAGACACTGTGAGAAAATAGCTGATGCTGCAATATTATATAATGGGAAAATTTGTGTTTTTTTACCTTGGATACTATTGTAGAAGACTCCAAAACAAAATTAGGTACCTTAAAAATTGCATTATAAGGGCACTTTTGGAATGGTTCCTGACTTTTTGTCCAATTACAAGAACTGTCCTAGTCATTTGTGAGTCATTAAAGGGAGATAGAGGCAAGGAAGTGCCGAGGAACACAGAAAGATGAGTGTGGAAAGATGTGAGGTGGAAGTCAAGAGAAAGAACAGAGAGAAAGACTCGAGGAAGAGAGATGAGCCCGTCACAGTGGGGTGTAAAACCAGAAACCGTTGATGTGACAACAAGGTTACAGAGACACACGATCAAAGCAGCGCTGCTACCAACACGTGTTTGAGAGAGGATGCCGACTACTGTGTGTGTGAACACTGTCCCTGAGTCTTCTACAAACGCTCACTTTCCCTCCAGACGCAGCGTGTGGGAACACCAGAGTTCATTCCCACTTCTGTGACTGTGTTGGCATGTCTGAAGTTTAAGTTCAGTAAAAGATGAAAACTTTGTCATCATTTACTCACCCTCATGTCATTTAAATGTGCTGGAATTTCTTTTTTCTGTGGAACTCAAAACAGTCCAGAGTGCTTTTACACACACACACACACACACACACACACACACACACACAAACACACACAACACACACACACACACACACACACACACACACACACACACACACACACACACACACACACACACACACACACACACACACACACACACACACACACACACACACACACATTATATTTATCAAAGAATCCTTAAAAATGTAAATACTATAGAAATGTTTTGAGCATGAAATCATCATATTAGAGTGATTTCTGAAGGATCATGTGACACTGAAGACTGGAGTAATGATGCTGAACATTCAGCTTTGATCCCAGGAATAAATTACAGTTTACAGATGTTTAGAAAACATCTATTTTAAATTGTAACAATGTTTCACAATGTTACTGTTTTTACTGTATTTTTGATCAAATAAATGCAGCCTTGGTGAGCATAAAGTCATATTGAATTCATACGATAACTTTATAAGAGGAAAAGGCCAAAACTTTCTGTCATTATTCACTGAAAATCTTCCCTGTAGCTCTGAAATCTCATCCGCCGTCACGGTTTTAAATGCATCATGTCGCAGTCTGTCACATAACAAGTGAAAACCAATAGCTTATGACTTTAGAAGTCTTGAAACGTTGTGTACAAGTTGTATGGACTGTTTTATGTTTTTTTTTTTGCAAACACATTATTACAGTTTTTTACGATTGCTTACACACTAAAATTAAACTTTTCCCACAATTAGCAAAACCTACACTCAAGGAGCAAAACACAAGGCTAGATTTGCACAACTGTAAGCACATTGTCAGCTTCACACTATTTGTAAAACATTACACAGTGATTAGTTTTGACAAAAGTGTTCCATTTTGCAAATGATCTGAAGTGTGTTGCTTCTTTGTAGCCTGGTAAATACCAGAGCATTCTCAGTTGTAACTGAGTTATGGTCTGGCAAAGCGTCATAGACAAATCATTTCCAGAGGGGCGATGAAGGAGATGACGTATGCAGAGCGGCGGAGAAACATCTCCGAGTGTTGTTCTTTTGCTCGGTTTTTAACAAAAAGGAAACGTTCAAATGGCTTAAAACAGACGCGATAGCTGATTCGAACGAGTGATGTTCGACGGCGGCATCCATCTTTGTAATGTAGGCTACAAAATCTGCTTCAAAATCCCAGCGCTGTTGTCATCGTGTAAAGCCCGCCCCAACGTTTCTGATTGGTGCCTCGATTTCGGCGGATTGGAAATGGGCTTGAATGAGCTCTTTGCCAGAGCAAATCTAAATGTGCCGGAAGTCGTCTGGGTTTTCCCAGTCTAGCTACTTTGGTGTAGGGTTGTGCTAATTGTGTGTATTGTTTTGACAAACCGGGCCCTTTTTTAAAAATTATGCTTAAGCAATTGAAAAAAACTGTAAACCAATCTTTTGGAGTCACTGTTCCTTTAAGATTTTCATGCACTCACTTCCTCTGGGAAAGTAATACAGCAGCTCGTCTTCCCACAATCCCCCCTGGTGTGAAATACGCATGGCAGTGACAGGAAGTGGTTGCCTGGCTGCCGTTATTAAAGACTAATGAGTGAATTGATCAGAACAGGTGCCTCCCCGCGGTCTCACGAGTCCAGCATGTGGTCCTGCATGAAGGCTGCTGGAGGCTGAAATGACTGGAAATCCTTAGTGGTGGGCTTTTATGAGCTGGCGTCTGCAGAGATTGTTCGTTTTATGGCTATGATCAGTTGTTAAATGCAGAAGGGTCATGGAGATGCCATTCGGAAGCATCTGTTATTTTGCATTATTAAAGTCAACCGGAAATCAAAATTGACCGAATTTGTTTCTGTAATGCACATTTCTAGTCTTGTTGCGTATGATTCATAAATGCACGCTATTCGTTGTCAGCCAATATGGTGTTTGTATGTTTTTTTAATAGACCATGTAAATGCTGAAATGGCTACTGATTTAATGCACATATATCAATAAGTGCTTGAGATTTGTTGCTTATGCCTGCTTGACTTTGAATCACTAAACCGTTCAAAAGTTTGGGGTCAGTAAAATTTTTAAATAAATTCATACTTTTAATAAGCAAAGATGCATTTAATTAATTACAGTTTTTCTCAGTCGCTTTGGTGCATTTCTCACATCACTATTCACATTTGCACAACAGTTAATGCAGTTCTCAAAATAATTAGTACAAACTGCAAAACCTAGTTGATAACCTGCAAAAGCGTGTCACTTGCTCAAAATGGATATCTCATTCC